TTTTTTTATAGTCAAAAGTGCATTCAAAAGTGTGCTCACTTATATTTTATTTAGCTGGGTGTTATCGCAGTCTTTCCTTTTTCACATGTGCACACCTCATCCATGCACATGAAATGTAAATGAAAAAAACTGACTGGTGTATCGTGCGAGAGAAGCTTCGAATCCGGACAAGATATTTTATATTTAAATGGTTTATTATAAATAGTGGTATAGAGAAATAGAAAAATAACTGTTAGTCATATCAATATTTACATGGAATTTTTCAGAGGAGAAAATAAATAAAAGATTAGAAATTAGAATGATTATTTCAAATAAATAACTTGATTCACAGTGAGGCAGTAAACACAGTAAAGTTTTTGTCTTTTTCTGCTGACGATCACACAGAGATTGGAGCGTTCAACCCCAATACTCCCTTGGAACCAGCGGGGTGCAGAAGTCTTTGCCACACATCTGTTTTGAAGAAAGTGGAAGATATATTAGTATTAGAAACATGCAAAACAATTGTTGTACAAACAGTGAATTCTGAATTATGTGACTGATTTAATATTCACAAACCTGACAGGAAGGCTGTGGCACTGGAGGCGACTGTAGGATACCGTCCATGCTCATATCTCTCTGGGGAGCTTCATTGTATGGTCTGTGGTGCTGATCCACTCCAATACTACAATTCCCAGAATGCAGCACAGTATTCTGGCTATAACATGGTGTTGGGTACAGGCTGCTCTGGATCAGATTCTGGCTCTGCATCTGAGTCACTTGTCCTCCTGTGGAAGCACTCTGGAAGTAGCTGAGGATGTCAGTGGATGACGTGTCACTGACTGAGGCGTCTGCTCGTTCCCTCCTCTGAAACAGCACCTCTTCGCTGAGGCCCAGCTGGGATGAGAGGTAGGAGATGTAGCGGATGGTGAGTCGGAGGGTTTCTATCTTCGTCAGAGTTTGTCCGGCAGGTGCCACCGAAGGTGGAAGGTAGGACCTGAGGTGATGTAGAGCCTTAGTCAGATCCCTCATCCTTAATTTCTCCTTTTCGCTGGCGCTCTCCCTCTGCTTGCTCCGGATCCGAGTGGGCCTCCCAGTCCTGCGCCCACGTCCGGACAAGGAGCATGGTGAGGACTTGAGGCTTTGGGAATAACCGGTCTTGGCTCCCATGGGAGTACACTGTGGAAGCTGCTGGTAGCTAGGAGAGAGGCTGGAGTCCATGGAGTGGACAGGAGAAAGTGTCTCTGGGGAGGAGATGCTGGAGAGGTCCGAGTCGGAGAACCACTGGTACTGCAGACTGTAGTCAAGGTGAGGAACTGAGGAGGTATCCATGTTGTGTTAAAGGGTCTCAACAGTGTGACCGGAGAGACTGGAAAGCTTTAAGTGCTCCTCAGCTCTGCTCCAGTGCTTTATAAGCCCAGGCCAGGCCACAGAGGTGCGAAGTGACACCTCCACAGATTCTCACAATCACTGTCTAAGCAGAGGCTACTGCCCCTGAACACACACACACACACACCATGAGTGGGACCCTGTCTCTGTACCTCTCCCTCTGGTTCTCCCTCTTCTCTGAATCTGGGAAAGCTCAGCTACAGCAGTTGACGTGTGAATTTTGACTCCTTCTGAAAACAATAAACAGATTTTGGTTTTTTGGCTTTTTGTCCCTGCAGCGGGCCAGATGCATTTTGCACATGTTTAAGGGATTTGTTTGGAATAATCTCTTTTCTCTTTCTTACATTCACTTGCTAACAAACACACACGCACAGGCAAACATGCGAAAAGGTCAGCGCACTCAACAATATGACAGAAGAGTGTGAAGAAGACATACACTGCAGAAATAAAGCAATGATATACGATACAGAAAAACCTGCCTGTATGCTGACTTAACCACAGTTTTTTACATTGGCTCCTGAAGATGGATGTTATGTACTTCACACTAATCTGCAAAAGTATCAAGAAAAGTCAACGTTTACTATAAATTAGAAGTATGTGGAACTTAATCAGGATTCTGATCCATTATCAACAAATATCTATCAACGAGCTGAATTTCAACAGCTGAACGACAGATAGTACTAAAGATAGATAGTATTAAAACAATAACATTTTCTGAATCTGATTCAACATCAGAGTTATTATAGTACTGATACTATAGTTTCTACTTAGCTTTCCATTTCCATTTTCAATTCTCGGTTAGGGTTTCCAAAGTTGGGTTCTTCTTTAGTTACAGTTTGGTAGTAACATGCAAGATTTACATTCAGAACAGGTTTTTATAATGCAAACACTTAAACATGTATTTCAGCAACCAAGCAATATGTTGCATGAGGCTGTAAACCCCGACACCCTGTGTGATCAGCTCTTAAATTCTTCTATGAAGTGCAGTTTATGCCTAAATGCATGTTTTATGGATTTAAACCAGTTGAGGCAAGCCAAGATATTAGACTGCTCCTGTTATCTGATTCATTTCGACGTCAGATGTAGCAGGTTGGTCTATGCAGGGTACGAATATTGTTTATGACTTTATTAAAACACAACACTAATGAATGACATTAAGTAAAATATTAAAAGCTAGCGTGCAGAATGAAAATGCTAAATCAAGAGTCTGGGATTGTGTGTTGTTTTGATCATGTGTGGCATGTATTTGAACAGTGGATGTGCTGCTTCAACAGGTCTTTGCCTCTCCTCACCTCTCTCTAGCCTTGAACCTGACAGTGTCCATTATTCTTCACTTCATCTCCTTCATTTTACATCCCACCATTTCTCACCTGTGTGATCATTTTATTGTCACAGCAAATCAGGCGTGAGCACCAATCCTCTTCTGTCTTTACCTCAATCGGTGAACTGAAACCGCTGCTCTTGTTTTATGTGCTTCAAGGAAGAAAAGTTATGTCCTAAATGGCTAAAATGCAAATATAATGAGGTTTAATGGAGCCTAATGAACCTCCGTTATCCAGTTAAAGCTGAGGTGTGATTATTTCACACTCATGGGAACTGATGAGTCTGAAGGCGTCACTTCACACCTCAGCAGTGAGAACCAGGAATGCTGGAAAATATAGTCGCTGGTAACCTCTCTGTGTCCCCAGTCTTTCTGTGTTTTCCCTGGAAAAAGCTCGGTATTAAAGGAACAGTTCACCCCAAAATTTCCTTTAAGTGTTCTATTTTTTCCTCTGGTCTGTAATTTCCATTATTTTGATGTGAGTTGTCAAGTTTTTGAGAAATTATGCTTGATTTATGGTGCTAAAAGTACCAAATTAAGACATTTGAAAAACTAAACAGAATTTATCTTTCTGGAAATTTTGGCTAATGTACTTAGAATAATACACAAATCTTACTGTGAACAGTTTCTCGTACGAACTATTGTCTTTCCACTACACATTACCAACCAAGAGATGGGTGAGACCCACAAACTCTCCACACATATAGATACATGGCTTTTTCTTCAAGGATAAGGCTGGTAGAAATAATTCCTACATTAAATGGCTCACAGTAAGTTTTTGGATTTTTAACTAAAGGAAGATTTTTGGAAAGAGACATTTCTGTCAAGTTTTTGAAATTTATTTTTATGTGTTTGTACACTTTAAGCAAGGCCAGGTGAGCACAGTTTAGTTCCAATATATTTAAAGAGAAGGTAAACATTTCCCCAGTTCATATCTCCCTAAGGGGAGACCGGTGTGCCTTCTGTCCCCTTAAATAAAAACGATTGCCCTACTGAGGGCTTTTTATGGGGTAGATTTAGAACATAACAGAGATGATAAATTTCCCATTTTAGTGAAAAAGTTTTAAATTTTGCATTCTTGTCTTAAAAAAATATGGCATCTTAAATCTGAAACCTATTCCAAATAATAAAACATTCAGGCTTTATTCGAGTGTACAACTTCACTAAAAAAAAACAACATGACATGTTTACTGATTGTCTGTGAATGCTGAGTCTGTGCATTTATGCTTTTTCACAGCATTTTCCAGTTGGATGCATCCCCTTTTCTGAGCTAGGAGGCAATTTGTCTTTCCTGTCTGTGTTGGACTGTCTGCTCTTTATTAAATCATCTATTAAACATCAAAGCTGTCATAAATCCAAACCCTGTTCAACACAGCAGTTAATTCTGTTCTTTCCAGTTGGCTTTGTGACAATGGCGTATTCTCCTTGATGGAGAACTGGCATGCTGTAAAGCAGGTAATTAAATAAATACATGTTTGTAGACAGTGTCCTCCAGCTGGGAGCACATTCAGTTGTTCTGACTAGAAAACTGAAGAGCTGGAAGCTCCAGAAGGCTTAAGTATGACAGATAAAAGGACATAAGTGTATAATATGACACTGTTGTGGCCTGAGCTCAGAAAGTGATGGATAGGTATGTGCTATGTCAAGCTGCGGGCAGAGTGAACTGGGTTTGAACCCGCTGTTCGACCCTGCCAGTCACTCTGAGCAAGGTGAGGCTGTGGGAGCCTGGCTGAGAGTTTGGCACCTCTGGGTGGATGCCCACCCACAGAAGGCTCAGAGGCTGGGCTGCCTGCCACCTGTCTGTGCCTCCCTCAACCCCACCACGACCTCCAGGGTGTTCCCTCTGCTTGGACTAAAATCTAGTTTGACATCATTTATAGCATCATTGTTTGGATATTCTAGTAGTGACATAGCAAATAAAAAATTTAAAAAAAGATAAGAGATATGAAATTTAATGAATCACTGTAGAACACGGTAGAAAGCAAACATATTATACATGCATAGCAAACTAGTTTGCATAACTACATTATTTTGACTTTTATCTCATTGATGTGAAACTCATTTCAGGAGCAACAGTAAAAGAAAACTTTATAGCAAATATATCACTGTGCACAACGCTGTAGTTCACGACTATTATGGCTCTCAAGGGTTTTAGATAATTCAGATTCTCTTGATACTCAGATACACAATTTCAGGGTTAGGTTAGTCTTACTGTGATTTCTCCTTCACTGTGAAACACCAAATATCTTCAAGAAAGATTAAATTGCACAATATCATTGGACTGATAGAGGATAGGTTTGGTTTTGGGGGGAATTTTGTTGTTGTCGTTGTTGTTTGTAGAGATGTTAGACATGTTCAAACCTAAAAACAAATCCCAGTGCCTGCTACAGTTTCCAGTTTAAAGTAGGTTTCCTCGAAACAGTCTGCAAGAATATGCATGAGTATCAGCTATCGCAATGGCAGTGCACACAATTCACTTGGGTAACAGAACAAAAACATTTTGCTAAATTTGGTCAAGGCTAAAAGCCTTTCTTTTAAAAAAAAATTCCAAGAATCACCGCATCACCTAAATTGCAGATCAATTGCGAAGGTTCTGGGTGTCAGGCCGCATGTTTCACAATCATGGTTTACACTACACTGCAAGTCAGTTCTCCCAAGTGGACTATAAATTAATATTATAAGAGTAACTACTTATCTGTGGTGTCTACAACTATCCATGTGGACATCCACAAGGCATTATAAACCTAGATTTACACTTTTTGCTACTGTGGGCATGTGGGGGTTTGCTTGGGTCTGAATGACATACATTTTGTCATTATAGGGTGCACTCATGGTTCTGTGTGGACACCCATGTAGCTGCAATGCAAGGGCGCCAAAGGAGTAAATGAGTCCTACAAAGAGACTAGAAAATGATGATGATGACTGAGGATGAAGAACTCTAATGTGCCGAAAAAATGTCAGTCTGTTTTTTTCTTCAAGAGCCACAGCTGCTTTAGTTATAATAGGTTTAGAGAGCTCACGGGTTAACTCAGAGGTCTCATTATTATACTAATGGCATTGATGGAGTTGACAGAGGCAGTTAAAGTTGTGAAAAGCAGTATCACTTTAGTCCTATGTGTCCCAAATTAATGCGGCAATAACAGCTATTTTGTTAGATTCTGTGTGTGTGTGTGTGTGTGTGTGTGTGTGTGTGTGTGTGTGTGTGTGTGTGTGTGTGTGTCTGTGTGTGTGTTGCCATGTGAGCGGAGCACATTTTACACCCTAGGTGTGAAACAGTGCTGGAACCGGAGGGGTCAGCCAGAGGTGCACAGTAAATTTCATCTAGTTGTTAGAAAGTGACGTTCACAGAACATCAAAGAATCCAGCTGGCCAGCACGACTGAGGTAACTTCTTCTCCAAGCAGGAAGACGCTGTCAGGCTGCAGAGATAGGTCAAATTGCGCAAAAGTCAGTACGAGATTAAATTTAAATATTAGCTTCAGAGACAACGTTTCACTGGCCTCTACAGCCATGAGACATTCTGATAAGCCTGGTAGACACATCAGCAGAGTGTCTTTCACACCTTAGCCAGAGTAAACACATCCTCCTACTACTGGCACTTGCTCACACTTGTGTGCTGCCAT